AACCAACAAAGAAGAATATTTTATGCTGAGACAGCATCAGCTGGCATCCCTTCTTCTTGATTCCCTAACAGAACTTAGCATGAAAATAAAATTTGATACGTTAAGAAGTGTGAAACAATAAGGACAAATAGTTACCCTTTGTTCATCAGAAGAACACTACGATCAGACGCTCTTCTAGAGCAGGTAAGATGAACGGCTCTTAGAGACAGCTTCTTCTGTCTCTTGCATGGAGGTGCTTCGTGAACCTTCCTGGCTGATATTGTGCGTAGTTCAACTACTGCGGGAATGCTTGGGTCTGAAAGTGAAGATCGAATCTTTGCCTATGAGTCAAGAGCAACTGTACCCCCTCTTCATGCCTCTCGTCCCAACTGAGAACTTCTAACCGCAAATCCTGAATAGGATAGCATGACGACTCTCTCTCTCCGTTTCTCCGAGCACTTGTGGTTGACCGTAGCGACGGAGAGGTCTTACAAGTCCCCCTTCAAGAAAAGAATCAGGGAACCAGCTCTTTCTATCAGAACTGGAGCTAGTCTCATACCAGCCTCTCAGAATCTCCGTTTCCTCAGCATCAAATCCCTTCACTAACCAGCTGGAAGAACCGGTTTCCTTTCCTTTTCTCGAGGATCAACACCTCTTTTCCTCGAGTCGACCATGAGCCTCATGAGTCGGCCTCTGTCGCGTTGCTGCGGACTGCTCTTCCTCTGAGTCTGAAATCCCCACGTCGAGTGACGATATTAGCGGGCTCAATTCAACCACTTAAAAAAGAGTAAAGTTCATCCGCTAGAGGCGGCGCGCTCTAAAGGGAGATCAAATTCACAATTGTGGCAGCCCGCAAGACCCAAAACAAGCTCTCGCCCCACTCAATAATGTCCACCTCAAAAGCTAAGGTGACGATTCGGGTTGCTGATATAAATTGTCAATAGCCGAATTAACGCGCAAAATCGATCATGGAAGATAGGGCTCAATGTGTCAAATACGTCCTACCGCCCTGAACAACAGATATCCAGTGTCGGATATTCATCAGCCATCGAAAACTCCACATCTAGAATATAATCGGTTCTCGTCGGTCTTCAGCATCCAATAAGAGTTGTGTTGTAATGCCGGAGAACCGAGGAACAAGTGAAGAATCCCAACACTTATGAAATTTGAACTGGCCTCGCTTATGTCCGGCCAATGCGATGGTTGATCCATTTTGCAATCCTCGTAAGGGTCTGTAAAAGAGAAGACTAGGAATCCACACATCTCAGGAGCTTCCATTTAAATCTGGCCGGTGCAGAACAACCTTCTGTATCAAATCGGCGGGTGGGGGTAAGTGTTAAGGGTATTTAGGGTTTCGGAACAGATAATACTGCAGGGTTTCTTTTTCTCTTGTGTGAATGCGGAAAACTAACTGCCGGAACCCACTGTGAATAGCGCCACGCAATAGCAGGAACAAAGATAATCTGCGACCTGTGCTAACTGAACGCTGGTACAACACTTCTCATTAGCAAGCGCGGATACTGGTGATAGGACTAACACATCTCTCACCATATGTCTCAGAAATCCAGCCAACAGAGTAGTGGGGCGAATCGAACACACAGCTTGAGAACAAATAAGAGGCGGAATTTAGTTCCGTGTGCAAAACTAGCCATCTCTGATGAACATGTAGAATTGGCGTTTGTTTTCTCCAACAGTCGATTGATGTCACCCGCTCAATAGGATATAACGCTCACTACCTCTTTCGCATCCGAT